TCGAAAACAGGCATAAGAATTCTTTCTGAGTTGACAATGTATTTATTAGAAATTCAGAGGAAGGTATTATAGTCTAGTTCACTGATGCATTTATCTATTATTTCTTACAGACTATAACATTTTATCATGAAAGGGATTATTCTGAACTGCCTGATTATCGAACCCAGGTGTAAGTTAAAATTTATTAATATAAAAACAATAATTCAGAATCAATACACTTATTTGCATTCAAGGATGTCAATCCATTTTTAAACATATTCCAGTATTTTAGTGTTATATTCTAGGCTCATAGGATCCAGGCCAGGGTTTAGTTTACTCTTTTTGATTATAGAACCAGGTAGTCCTCAAGTTATGAATGTAATGGAGCCTGCCAATTACATTTGTAAACTGAGGATTTCATAGGAGTGAATCACATTATTTGACCACAATCCCTCCTTTCTCCGATGATTTACTAATTGAACGCACGGATTGTTAACTGCACATGAAATACCTCAGGGTGGGCCTAGTGATGGGACAGGCCATCTTCTTCAGACCACCTGGTGACAACAGAGGGAGAGCAGGTTGCCTGCTCAGCTCAGCTCCTCTGACTCACTGAGGCTACCTGCCACTTTTGGAGTAGCGGGCAGCCTCGGCTGAGTCTCCTCCAAAGCCTTCCAGGCTCGGCATGGAAAAGCATCTGCACACTGAAGTGAAGCTTTGGGGCAGTGAACTTAATCCTCTCATTGGCATGCAAACACTTTCCCACTGTATTTCGATTCCAACCGCCCCAGCATTGCTCAAACACATTTTTCCCGGATGAAGATTAGAAACTTCTGAGGTCGATGGTCTCATACGAGTTCAGCCACCCATCCATTTTTGCAGAGAAAATGCCCATGAGATCATGGCATCCAAAATGTTCTGGGGGGAAAGTGTTTTCACACCAATGAGAGGCTTGAAGTGATGCAAGTTTGCTGTCCAAAAGCCTCACTTTGGCATGCAAATGTTTTTCCTAGCTGAGGAGACAGCTTGCTAGATCTTCAAAAGGTAAGTGAGTCTCCACAGGCCTGCTTGTGGAGACTCGGCAGGGGGAGGGGGGAAGGGAATAGGCAGGACAAATGTTGCAGTGCCTCTGTGGTCATTCTTAAGGGTGAATGACTGCCTTAGTGCTGCAACATTTGTAATTTCGGGACTGGGTCGTAAGTATTTTGGGGGGGTACTATGTTGTAGGAAGGCCAGTACTATGTTGTAACTTCAAATTGTCACTAAGTGAACTGTCATAACTCAGGAAATACCTGTATATTGGGATTCCAAAAGGAGGAACAGAAAAAAGTGAGAAAGTTAAAAGTTTACAGGCAGCTTGTGGAGAATTCCATTAATGATTTAATAAACATGATGGACTTTTGATCATTGTTGATGCTGAAATACTTTATAGGTCAGGGGTCTGCAACCTTAAACATTCAGAGAGCCATTTGGACCTATTTCCCACAGAAAAAAAAAACACCTGGAGCCACAAAACCTAGGTGGGCATGGCCAACTTAGTGTCACTCACTCTCACCCAGTCCCATGACCCGCTAGCCATGCCTATCCAGCCACAAAACCCTTCTCTCTATGTATCTCTCTCCCTTTCTTCCCTCTCTCTGTATCTCTCTTTCTCTGTCTCCCCTTTCCCTATCCCACACCTTCTCTCTCCTCCTCTCTGTCTCTCCCCCTCTCTCTGTATCTCTCTGTGTCTCTCCCCTCTCCCTATCTCCCACCCGCTCTCTCCTCCTCCTCTTGGTATCTCTCTTCCCCTCTCTTTGTATCTCTCTGTGTCTCTCTCCCTCCCTCTGTATCTCTCTGTGTACCTCTCCCTCTCCCTATTTTCCCCTTTCCCTCCCTCTCTGTATCTATCTTCCCTCTTTCCTTTCTCCCCCTCTCTCTGTGTCTCTGTCTCTCTCTCTCCCCGCTCCCTGTTTTCCCCTCTCTCCCTCTCTCTGTATCTTTCTCTGTATCTCTCTTTGTATCTTCCCCTCTCTCTGTATCTGTGTGTGTGTCTCTCCCTCTCTCCCCCATCTCTCTGTATCTGTGTGTCTCCCTTCCTCTGTATGTATGTATGTATGTATGTATGTATGTATGAATATATGTATGTATGTTTTCATCCAAGGATAATCCAAATATCAAATTCCAGTGTCAAAAACAGTTCAGTATCAGACTTACATTAAATCCAGTAATATCAGTCAATTAGAAGAAATGGAACAACGGCAATATTTTCCAACAGAAGGAAACTCACTGTTCTATATTAACATTTTCCAAATCCTGAATTCTGATTGGTCCGCACGGACCACAACCTGATTGGCCGACTAAACGGCCGGGATTGGTGCACTAAGAATCTACCACGATTGGCCAAGCCGATCGTGGGAGATTCAAAGCGATGTCATTGGCTGCCAGGCCGCGCTCTAGCTCTATATGAAGAGCCGCCGCAAATCCCAGGTCTTGTACAGAACTGTGTATTCAATAAAGAGCTGACTGTTCACTTTGGTTTCGTCTCGCGTCTCTATGGGACCGATCTACCCGATCTAACACTCACACTCTCTTCTGAGACTCAGACTAAACAACCAGGTTTCTGGCTCCATCTTATGGCCATTTGAAAAACCACACCCAACTACAGTTTTGCATTTTCTTAAAGATATAGTACTAAAATGTCTATCCTGGCTTATATATTTCTAACCCAAATACCTGTTAGGTGACTTATATTCCTAACATTCTCCCCTTTTGGGTAAGATAATATATACAACCTTACATTCTAATTCCATAATCTTCACAGCACGCCTTATGCTTTATAGAGCCTTGGGCCTTTGTAAAATGATCTGCTATATTGTTTTCAGACATACAGTATTCTAGCTTAATCATCTTACTTTGCACACATTGTCTCACATTTAAATATCTTAAATCTGTTTGTTTCGTTCTCGTTTTAACAGCAATATGTGAAGCCATCTGTATTGCTGATTGGTTATCTTCGTAAATAACAATAGGATCTGTTACATTAATTCCCATATCAATCAATAATTGCTTATACAAAACTAAATCTGTACATAATAAAGACAAACATGAGAATTCAGCCTCCATTGTTGACAAGCTTAGATGTTTCTGTCTAATAGATTTCCATCCAATCAATGCTTTTCCTAATAATACAGCAGTACCCGATGTAGATTTTCTTGTATTTATGTCTGTAGCAAAACTTGCATCAGCATATGCAGTCAAATTCAGTTCATCTTTTGGCTCCAAATACAATGCATAATGCATTGTTTGTTTCAGATATCTTAACACACATTTAGCAGCTTGCCAGTGCCTTTCAGTCGGCTCAGAGTTAAATCTCGCTAATTGATTAACACTATATGCGATATCTGGCCTTGACCAATTACTGAGATAAGATAAACTACCAATCAAGGACTGATAAATGTTCTTATCAAAAATAGGACTTTGTACATCAGTATGGCTAAACTCCTGACTGGCTTAGCTGGCTTACAAAATTCCATTTTATAACTTTTTAGTAATTGGTTAATTTTATCTGCCTGTGAGATTTTGTATCCTCCCCTAGTTCTATTTATCTTTAAACCAAGATATTGTCTGATTTCTCCTAACTGTTTTATCTTAAATTTCTTTTCCAATAGTGAAATTATCTCAGTAGCTTCTTGTTCAGTTTGGTGATTAATGCTATGTCATCAGTAAATAATAACAACAATGAAATTACACCATTAGTTTCTCTTTTAAACAAACATGGATCAGCCATGGCAGCTACAAAGCCTATCTTAGTTAATTCTTTAACTATACATTGGTTCCACTCATATCCTGATTGCTTCAAACCATAAAGACTCTTTTTCAATTTCCAGCAATCATTAGTTTTATCAGTATTATCATTTTTGAGACCTAAAGTTTTCTTTAAATATATAGTGTGTTGCAACGGTGCATGCAGATAAGCTGTCTCTTCATCCAAATGATTTACAATATATTTCTCTTTAGCTGCCCACACTAATGCTGCCCTTAATGTAGTAGCCTTCAGACTAGGTGCAAACACCTCATCATAGTCATTTGCTGTCTGATTAAACCCTTGTGCTACTAACCTGGCTTTATGGGTAACAGTCCCATCTATACCTGTCTTCAGTTTATATATCCATTTACATCCTATGGCATGTTTACCTGGTGGTAACTTAACATTTTCATATACCTCCAGTCTTTTTAAAGATTCCAGTTCCTTATCCACTGCTTTCTGCCAAGCAGCCTGATCCTTAGCAGGATACATTTTCAGTTCACTATAATTACTTGGAACTGTATTCACTTGGCATACAACACTAGCCTGTTATCTATCAGGTGGTCGTGTTACTCGGGTTGAACGTCTTTGTAATACTGGTGGACTTTCCTGTGCCACCTGCTCCTGTTCTTCTATTTCTTCCTGTGCCTGTTCTCCTGCTTCCTCCTGTGCTTCCTCTTCCTCTTTAATAACTGTGGTTTACTGATTTTATCTTTAGGGACTATTTGGGTGTCAATAATAATATCATTGCTGGATTCCTGTTCCAGTTTATTCTACCCAACGTGCTCTAGAAATTTTGCACTAGCACTACAATAAACATGAGTTGTGCCTTGATCCCAGAATCTAAACGATCTACCTACAAAACCTACAAAAAATAACTTCTTAGCTGTATGTTGCCCTTTCAGTCTTACTTGTGAGGGAATATGTACCCATGCTAGAGCTCCAAATGTGTGTAGGTAATGTAAATTTGGTTTTCTGCCATGCCAACGAGTGAATGGCAATTCTCTAGGTGTTGTATTAACTACATTGTTTAAAACATGGTTACTACACATTGTGGCTTCATCCCACAGTTTCAGGTAAACCTGAATCAGATAACATAGTGCAAGCCATGGTTTGTAATGTTTGCTCTCTTCATTCTACAAACGAGTTATGTTGTGGTCTGTAAGGTGCAGAACGTTTATACTTAACACCAGCCAATTTCAGCATCTTTTGTTAACAAACTCAGTCCCATTATCAGTAACTAAAGTAATTACTTTACTTTTCATTTTTCTCTCAGCAAACCTTAGACAGTTAAAGAAATGTTGGAATGTTTCTGTTTTGTTTTTCATGAGATAGCAGAAACCATATTGTGGGTAATGGTCCATAATACTCAAAATATAGCAGGCACCTCCTAAACTTGGTTTCTTAGGACCAATTATATCAGTAAAAACAACCTCTAAAGGTTCTTTGGTCTTAAACCCATTAAGTCTGTTTGCTGGAGTAACCTTGTTTTTCTCTTGGCTACAAGCTTTACAGTTTAAATACTTGCTACAGGGTTTCAATTTTACTTCCTCTGACAATTTGACAGTTCGTTTCAACATTTTGAAATTAATGTGCCCCAGACGTCTATGCAGTAAATGTATACATTCATCATGTGGCTTAACATTGTTATAAACTGAGCTAGGCATCTTCAACTGGTCATCATGTATCACATATAAATCATTCTCTAATGTAGCAGTAATACTTCTACCCTCTTTCTCTATTATACAGTTATCTCCCCTAAAGGTTACTACATAACCAAGATTAACTAAAGCCCTTACTGATAAATTAAATTTTAGTTTAGGTATATATAACATAGTTAAATGTTCATTTATATAAGAACAATATGCAGCATCCTTACCAGAAGCTTTGATCTTCCATCCATTTGCCAATGATACATGTCACTTACTTGTAGACATCTTTACAACCCTTTTTCTATCTTTAGTAATGCATTGTGATGCTTCACTATCAACAACCCACAAATCATGGTTTACAGTTGAATTGCTAGACATAGCAAAACTAACCCTTTTCTTGGCTTTCTGGTGTTTACTAGTATTCTGTTGTTTTCCTTTCTTACAGAATCTAGCTATATGTCCCCTAGCCCCACAAGAAAAACATTTCCTAACAGTATAGGCAGTTGAAGACAAATCCTCTTCTTGTGGTTGTTCCTTCCTCAGTTGGTCTCTATCCAGCCGTCTTCTTGCTTCTTCTAACAACCTTCTGGTTGTGTCAGTCAATGTCAGTTTATCTCTGGGCAGGATCTCCAGTGAAGATACGTAATCATCATAACTTTCATCCAATGAGGAAAGAATGATGTAAACTTGATGCAGCTCTGAAAATATCAGTTCCTTTTCATGTAGGTCTTGAAAAGTTATTTCATGAAGTTCAAATGAACTAACATATCTCCACCTTTCAGAAGACATGCTCTAAACAGTTTACATGTAAGAAGTATGTGTGCACCTACACCGTCACGAACATAAATCCTCTTCAAATTCTCCCAACACCTAGGAGCAGACACTTCTCCACGAATATGGACTAGCTGCTGGTCACTCAGTGTTAGTCCAATTATACAAAGAGTTCTCTCGTTGTTCTGTTTAAAGTCAACAAGCTTCTTGGCATCATCCTCATTTTCTGGATCCCAAGCATTTACATCCGGTGGGTCTTGAACTACATTCCATAACCCTTCTCTATGCAGAAGTAGACTGCACTTCATAGACCAGGAAACATAGTTTGTTCTATCCAACCGGATTATCAGTGATAGACTTGTTGAAGTGTCTTGTGCCATCTTTACCAGGATAGTAAACCACAGTTAAACAGTAAACAGCTGTCTGTATGTAGTACTGTACATTCACATCAACTCTCAGTTATCTGAGCCTGGTATGGCCTGGGCCCATAACCAGTGTTGAGGTAATTCCCCGTTAGAAGAATGAGCGCATACAGGGAGACGTAGTGAGAGAAGTGAAGAATAACACACACACAGCACACAGATACACTGTACAGTAAATGTAGGTTTTTACTTCCAATAAATGTTTAAGCACAGTCCAAGATAAGCAGTCCAAGTCATTCACAGGTAAAGCAGTCAGTGTTCAGTTCAGGGATAATCCAAATATCAAAATCCAGTATCAAAAAACAGTTCAGTAACAGACTTACATCAACGATCAGTAACAGTCATTAGGAGGAATGGCAACTCTCTCCAATAGAAGGGAACAGAAACTCACTGAGACTCTCTTCTGAGACTAACACTAACAACCCAGGTTTCTGGCTCCATCTTGCAGCCATTTGAGAAACCAGACCCAATTACAGTTTTTGCATTTTCTTAAAGATACAGTATTAAAATGTCTATCCTAGTTTATATATTTCCAACTCAAATTACTGTTAGGTGACTTATATTCCTAACAGTATTTGAAGACTCTTGTGTTGTAAAATATTTCTAGGTAACCTGATCTGTTATTCTTGGCAGCCTCACACAGTTTTGGCGAGGCTTGTGCTTATCAAATTTAATTAGTTTGCAGCAGTCTTTTAACTGGGGATTCGTAAGAGGTTTCTGTTCCCTTTGGTTCATGTTTGTTTTATTGGAAAAGGGTTTGGGTCAGAACAAGACCTTAGTTATGTTGTTTATTTGTTAAGGCAGCAAGAATAATAAATAGACATCAAATTTAGATGTTTAAGTCAACAACCACATATTGAATCCCTGCAGAAGAGCCAGAAATTATAAACTGGACAAGTTGCCATTATTGGAAGTTACAGAAAAAGCAAATGCAAATGCACTGGCGTGGGGCTGAGTCTGTTGAAAGTCCTGGGTTTCTAGTTCACTCCCAACTGAGGATTGCTATTGTGCAGAGTGGCCAGAAGGGCAGATATGCAGGGGGAGATAACTGAGGTGCAGGGGACTGAAGAGGAAGCAGAGGAGATAGTCTCAGCCTGGGACTGAGAGTAACAAAGTTCGGTTGTTACACCCCCTCATAGATTAGGGTGTATCCTCACCTGCTAACCAGTGGGATTCACTTAATGATAGTAACAGAGATTGCCAGAATTACCATCACTAAGTGATACAGTCATGTGATGTCAAGCTTTATGAGTAGATAATTTAGTGACATAAATTTTGGTCTCAATTACTACCCTATTGTTAACTTGAAAACTGCCTGTAATGTAGTAAGCAAGTTTTATAACAATATAATAAAATATTTTTTTTAAGAGAGAGAGAGAGAGAGAGAGAGAGGAAAGTTTGTAGAAATTAAAGAAAATATATTTAGAATCAAGATTTCCAATGAAATAGTGTCACCAACAGTGGTGGGATTCAAAATGTACCACCACCAGTTCTATGGGTGTGGCTTGGTGGGCGTAACTTGGTGGGTGTGGCTTGGTGGTCATGTGATTGGGTGGGTGTGGCCAACTCAACATCAGCCATGCAGCTTCCCTGGTGGTCGGGGGAGAATGTTCTCCCATTCTCCCAGCCTGCGCAGGCTAAGTCATGCAGCTTCCCCAGAAAGCCAGGGGGGAGAATGCTCTCCCATTCTCCCAGACAGCAGAGCTATGCAGCTTCCCTGGTAGCCAGTGGGGAGAGTGCTTTCCCAGCCAGCACGGCCATGCAGCTTCTCAGCCAGCATTCAGAGGCAAGCAGGAAGATCCAGGAAGCTCTGGGAAACAAGGGAAGCTTTGGATAGAGCTGTGGGGCCAGCAGTGAAGCAAGCCAGGAAAGTCCAGGGACATTGGGGAGGCAGCACAGCGGCCTAGGCTGGCCCGGGAGTCAACACTCCACCGGCGCTTACAGTGGCGAAGGCAGGTAGGACAGGTCGGGAGTCGACTCCCCCGGGGCTTGCACAATCACTCACCCAGGGAGATCATGGCCGCGGCAGAGGACAGGCAGGAATGGTTATGGTGGGCGAAGGCAGGTTAGCAATGGCAAGATGAGGAGTGACTGGGCAGGGCGGGTGGGCAGGGCAGGGTGGGGCAAGTGGGTAGGCAGGGCAAGTGGTGAGCAGGCAGGGGCAAGCGGCAACCTGGTGACCAGGCAGGCAAGGGCAGGGCTAGTCAGGGGTAGTATTAGCTGGTTCTACAAACCACTTAAAATTTCCACTACTGGTTCACCTGAACCAGTCCGAACCGGCTGAATACCACTCCTGGTCATCACATAGGAGCCAGGGCAATGATCATATTTAGTCTTGCTGGAAAAAAAAAACCCAAATGTTTTATGATATATAAAAGACTATCAAGCACATTGTTACTTAAGCTTTTGTGAATTATGTTCATCAAATAACTGGATTTTAGAGCTAAGAAAAAAGAAGAATGTATATACATATAATTGGCTGGGGCAAAAAGGAGGGGACAGTAACATGAGAGGTGAAAGTTAGCTAGAATTACAAAAGTTCAACAAGTAGCTATTACAGCTGACATTCTTATCTAAGTAACCAGAAGACACAAAGGCACTATAGTTTTGGTTTAATCCATAAGAAATTATGTTAAATTTCTAATGAATTTTAGCCCTGCTATTTCATCATGAAATGTATTTATATCAATTTGTTTAAGTTGTGCTTGTTAGTCCTTTATATATAATTGACCTTGAGCTCAGAGAAATAACTGAAATGTTTCTCTCCTGGATTTTTTTTTTAAATATTGTCAGTTCTGATATTTGTTTATTATCTTGTGTAGAAATTAGCTAGTTCAACTTAAGAGGTTGTGGAGTATTGTTATGTATCAACTGTGAATATTTTCTCTCACATATTGGTTATCAAACATATAAACATGGAATAATTTTATAGACACATATGTTGAATGCTCAACTTATGCGTGAAAAGGAGCATTTTCAATTGTTTTATTATTTTTTTTATGAAAGTCGAGTTCGTAATAAGTAGATAGGTTAGTTTACTAATAATATGAAAGCAGAAAAATACATGCAGATTGTGTGTCTGTGTGTTTATAGACACACATACTAAATATATCTTCTAATACAGTGAGTTATCTTATTTTTTTCATATGTGTTCTTTTCCATGTAGAGCATTATCTCAGGGTATTGTGACATTTCAATTAGAGCCTTCACAATCTGGAAAAACATGCTTAACTAAAAGCAAGGTATGTTAACTAAATAATAAATTATAATAAATAATTACAGTTGAAATTAAACTCCCAAGTAATGTAAGGAGGAGGAGGCTGAAGGAATTCAATACTATTGGTTATTGATTATAAAAAAAGGAAAGATTCTGCATTTTATAAAGAAAGAAAAATATTTTTATTATCTTTTACTATAATTGGAATGAGACCTGGGATTGGTCAGTACAATTTTCACAATGACATTTACTAAAGAAATATGTTGCATTTAGACCTGTAAAACTGTAATCAGTAATAAGTAATGCATGGTCTACTTCTGAAATGATCTGAGTTTCTCTGAGTAGCTACTCCTTTCTGAAGAAAACTTACAGTATTTTACTGACTTTCTGATTTATTATTTTTGTGCAAGCATTTTTGCATAAATAATTATCTGTGCATAAAGCTCCAATTAATAAACTTTTATAGTTGGGCTAAAGTTTTGAAAAAGACAAATACCCACAATAATTAGGACTTTCACATTCTTGCTTCCAATTAATAGATACCTAGGTATAAGTTAAAGGGAAAGCAAAATAAATAGCATATGACTTTGGTAAATAATAAAAATAAAATATGCGCACAACTCTCATAATTTTCTCCCATTCTGTTTTCCTCTCCTTCTGTTTTTATGTTAAGTTTTTGTTTTTGCTTTTAAAAATGTTATTATTGTAGAAAATGATGCTTTGTAGTGGCTGTCTTTTATCTTTTTCTCAAGAGTTATTATTTTCCAGAATATATGTGGTAGAAAATGTTTATAATTTTCCATTGAGGGTAATCTATTTATTTGATGAGGGTCACCCTACAGCATTATTCAGATGCAGCTAATGAAACACTTACTTTTTTTAATCTTCATTTTTTTTATTATTAAGGAGACCTACAAGTAGTGTAATGTTGTGGAAACTCCATGCAAAGTCATCTATCAACATGCTATCTCCATAGAGTCACTTTCTGTAGGATGACCTAATTAAACTGAGCTTTTCAATTAAAGAGGAATGTGCAGATGTTCTTTAGTAACTGACATGTCTTTAAGGTTCTGCTATGCTAAGCAATAGCAATAGCACCAGTGGTGGAAGGCTGAGTCAACCTTGAGCTGGTGAGGATCAAACTGCTGGTATGAGCAGTGAATTAGCCTATAATACTGCATTCTAACCACTGCTCCACCATGTCTCTAAGGTAATGGCTTTGATAGCAAACCATGCCTGATAACGCCTCCAGTCCTAGACTTAAAACTGAATGGTTAAATCAGCATCAGAAAAAAAAAGGACTATATTACCACAATAAAATTAATAAATACTTGATCAGTTATTTACTGAGAGAACGTATGCTTTCAGAACATTTTTATCTTTTTATACATAGGTCCTAAAAATTAAAGTTTTATCTCTGATTTTATAGCTTGGATTTGACCAGCCTGTTGACAAATGATGTCAGCACTAGAGTGGGAAAACATTGAACTTCCACTAAAAGACTCATACTCTCTTTTTTCACATCAAAATCCATTTTAGGCTGAATATTGTCCACATAACTTTTTATGTTCTCCCAATTCAGTTTGTCTTCAACAAATTTGAGCTATTCTTAAAAGTTGGCATCTATCATCAATCACACACTAGACAACAGTCCTTATATAGATAAAAAACTTTCTTCTCTCCATTTCAGTGTTCTAAGGGTTTTGTATCAGTACTACAATCAAGTAAACAGGCATTCTTTGTAACTATTTCTAGACCGGAAGCCATCACATTATAACTTCGATATTAAACAATAATCCAAGATCTTATTAGTTCCACCTTTAAGTATCTCTTTAAAAAAAAAATTTCAAGGAGATTTTTATATCCTCTTCTTGATGTTTATCTTCAGCTGGATTGTGGATTTGTGTGTGGCCAGGCTATATTGTACAAATACTGGCTCCTACCTCAGCAGGGTAACACAATAAACTTGCATTTGTGATGATCATTGAGAATGATGAAGATAACACTTAATTCTCAGTTTTACATATTATATTTCCAGGCGTGGGATTCTACCGATTTGGACTGATTCTATAGAACCAGTTGTTATGATTTTGCGCAGTTTGGAGAATTGGCAAATCATGCCCCTGGCTGGCCCTGCCCCTCTCTGCCCACCCCTCCCCTCCCTGCCCAGTCAGTCCTTATCACGCATGCGCAACATAGCACACATGCCGACATTGCTGACTGTGTTCTTCCCCACCCAGTCACTCCTTAAAGTATTTCTTTTTCCCCCTTCCTGACAATCAGCTGTTCCTATGATCAGCTGTGCTGGGATTCCCCTAATTTACTGCTTCGCCCAGGAGGCTTCCCTGAGGCCCACCCCCTCCATTTTTTGCCTTCCTGAGCCCCCAGGGAAGCTTCCTGGGAGCAAAAATACCCCCCAGGAGGCTTCTCTGAGTCTTAGAAGGCCCCAAAACAGAGCGCAGAGCGTTTTTCTCCCAGAAGGCTTCCCTGGTGCTGCATGTCGCTTCCTAGGATCCATTTTTTTCCCTTCCTGAGCCCCAGGGAAGCCTTCTGGGAGAAAAACACCCCCGCAGGAGGCTTCCCTTACCTGAGGCCCAGAAGGCCCAAAAAAGGCGGGGGGAGTGCTGCCAAAAAAAAGAAAAAAGCCATGCCCACCTAGCCACTTCCACCTAGCCATGCCCACAGAATTGGTTGTTACAAAATTTGAATTCCACCCGTTTATTTCCGTTAAAATAAGAATTAGTAATGTCTGCAATAAAAATTAGTAGTGGTTTCCATCCCTCCTTGTAACCAACATCTTTTTTGAAAGGTGTGTTTAGTTTTCTGACTTTTAATCATGTCCCTGTCTCCTGTAAGTGAGCTTGCTATTCAGCCTTCGGTAGGAATGCTCAAGAGACAGACTTATAATTGTAATTGTTCAGTTGGTCACTTGTGCAGTCACACTCTCCATTTTCCTTCTCCTCTATGGGTGTTGAAGTACTTGCATTTCTGCGTTATATTTAATTTTTTTATTATTATCTGAAAGATTAAATTGCACAAGAATTTGAGAATCAGTACCTTTGGTGGTATGTGTATGGAAATTCTCAGTCATCCAGGTCATGGTTGTCCCGAAGGTGCTTTTTTTTTCAAGAGGCAATTGAACTTTCTGGTTTTTTCTTTGAAGATATTTCATTTCTCATCCAAGAAGCTTTTTAAGCTCTGGGTGGATGGTGGGAACTTTGGTGGTATATTTGAGGAATAGACACATTTTTTTTCCTTAGCTGTAAAAGTATTCTGAATGAAACTCTTGGCATATGCACATCTCAAACAAAAACACCATTTGAATTATAGTGTTAAGCAACTGGTCATATTCTCCCCCAGCCTAATAAATAGTGCCCTAAATGTTAATAGCTAAATCCTCATTATTTCACAACAATAATGAAATATCCAAATGGCTTCAATATCTCATAAAACCAGAGAAACTGTGAAATATGATAATTAAAATATGATCATATGATCAAGAAACTCAATATCAGGCTGTCATTCCCTACCAACCCAACTTAATTCATAATATTGTGGGGATAAAATATGGAGGTATACTCTCTGAAAAACCATATTTTGCTCTCCAATTACTGCTTACACATAAACCCCATCGTTATAAAGAATAGATTGGACACTTTTTGAAATCAAAGCAAGAAATGGCATGATATAAAAAGAAAAACAGACAACATTTGGGCATATGGCAACTACTTTGAGAAACGTGTGGATATTTTAACTGTGGTGGTTTTTTTTAGATTTCTCACATACGTGTTGGCTGTCCTCCATGGAAAAGCATAATTGTAAACAAGTAAGTGTTCCTTTTCTACTTTTGTGTTATCTGCTTATGTTTCTTGTAACAAAGCTAAATATTAAAACAATAAAATGTTTAGTGTGTCTGTGAATGTAACAAATATAAATATTTTTATTAGCCATATAGTATTTTGATTGTGTATTATACTGTTACAAGAAGAAAGTAGAATCTATAATTCTTTATTCCTGTGTTTTGATTTACGTGTATGGATTTGTGCCCAATAAATCCTTCATTTCATAAAATTTCCAGATTTAAACTTTTCATATAAACATATTTCCTTTATAAAATTAATATCTAAGGCATGATTTTTACAATTTCTCTGAGAACAATTTTCAGGCTCTGTAAAGAAGGCTCTTTATAAAAAGCTTGTTGAAACTCTGGAAAGAATGCAGAGAAGAGTAATAAGGTTGATTAGGAGACTGGAAGCTAAAATACAAAGAATGATAACAGGAATTGGGTAGTCTAATGAAAAGAAGGACTAGGGAGAGACATAATAGCAGTGTTCAGCAAAGCTGAGCAGGGTCAAACTCTTTTCCAAAGCACCAAAAGGCAAGACGAGAAGCAATGGGTAGAAACTCACCAAGGAGAAAAGCAGCCTAGAACTAAGGAGAAAAGTCCTGATGGTGAGAACAATCAATCAATGGAATAGCTTGCCTTCAGATATTTCCATCGCTGTAGGCCTTCAAATGAGACTGGACAAGCCACAACAACTTTGTCTGAAATGGCTTGGCATCTCGTGCTTGAGCAGGGGTTGGACTAGAGCAGAGGTCCTCAACCTTTTGGACCAGTGGTGGGATTCAAATATTTTTGCCACCGTTTCGGTGGGTGTGGCTTGGTGGGCACGCTTTGCGCACGTGCACACACTTAGCGTGTGTGCATGCACCAAATGTGCACTTTGCGCAGGCCCAGAGGTGTTTGCGCAGGCCCAGAGGCATTCTAATTCACCTCCTGCAAGCCTGCATGATCCCAGTCACTTCACCAACTGCCGCGTGGCACTATTCTGTGCTGCGCAAAGCAGCTACGCTTCAAATTCAGCAGATAAAGGTGAGTATTGGAGCCCAGGTGGGCAGGTGGACCCAACAGCAGAGTGGTGGAGAGAACTGGTTCAGTCTCTGTTCATCGGTGCTATCGGCTCGCCAGTACTGGGCCGAACCAGTAGAATACCATCACTGTTTTGGACTCAGGGACCACCAAACTCATAATTTTAAATCCCACGGACCACAGATCCTGGGAAAATCCCCCCCAAAAAGTCTGCAGGAAAATTCCCCATTCCGTTTTCCTACCAATCGATCATTCTTTATTTGGGATCACAGGATACCGTCTCCAGCTCCTTTCTCAGGGGGAGAGCTTCATGCAAGGAAAGCAGCAGAAGCAGCAGAAGTCTTTCTTTCTCTCTCCCAAACTCCACCAGAAATAAGTCTTTGTGAGACTTGTTGCGCTGGCACAGCCCCTTGGAGCAGGATGCCTTGCAGGGTCCCAAAGTCTCATTTCTGGCGGAGTTTGGGGGAGAGAAAGAAAGACTTCTGCTGCTTTCCTTGAGTGCAGCCTGTTAAGGTAATTCCCCATTAGGAGAATAAGCGCATACAGGGAGACGTATTTGAGAGTAGTGTTTGAATAATACACACACAGCACACAGATACACGGCACAGTAAATGTAGGTTTTTACTTCCAGAAATGGTTTAAGCAAAGTCCAAACAAGCAATCCAAAGTCATTCACAAGTAAATCAGTCAGTTTTCAATCCAGGGATAATCCAATAATAAAGTCCAGTGTCAAAAACAGTTCAGTATCAGACTTGCATCAAATCCAGGAATAGGAGTCAATTAAGAGGAAACGGCAATATTCTCCAACAGAAGGAAATAGAGACTCACTGAGACTAAGACTAAGACAACCCAGGTTTCTGGCTCCATCTTATGGCCATTTGAGAAACCACACCCAATTACACTTTTAGGATTCTCTTAAAGAGACAGTATTAAAATGTCTATCCTGGTTTATATATTGCTAACCCAAATACCTGTTAGGTGACTTACATTCCTAACACAGCCAAAAGCTGAAGAAAGATAGAAGTGGAAAGCAGCCCGGTGGTAAGGCCGGGCATGTGGGACAGATGGGGCAAGTTCCCCCCTCTGCCCTTTCCCCCCTCCCCTCACTACTTCGTGTTGTTTACAATGCAATACAATTGCTTTGGGGGTGACATTTCTCTGTGGATGACCAAAATTTTCACACAGACCACCAGTGGTCCCCGGCCCACTGGCTGGCAACCACTGGTCTAGACTTTTCTTAAAAATCTGCAGTGATGGAGCACAATTTCTGAAGGCAAGCTGTTCCACTGGTTAATTGTCCTCACTGTTAGGAAGTTAGGAAGTTTTCCCTTAATTCCAGGATGCTTCTCTCTTAGATTAGTTTCCAACCATTGTTTCTTGTCTTGCCCTCTGGTGCTTTGGAGAATAATTTGATCCCATCTTCTTTATGGCAGCCCTTCAAATACTGGAATACTGCTATCAGGTCAGCTTGCTCTTCTTGAATGAGATCTTGAATAAGGCTAGCCTTGTTATTAACCAACTTGATATTTAGCAGCTGCAGCTGAACCTCAGGGCCTCCAAGGGTATACTGTCTGGGAACTGAGGATGAGCTTAGGGGGCTGGAACACATCACCAATATAAGTATATAAGTATTATATAAACACTTTTTTCTATTTTATCATCAGGGGCATCTTCCTGTGTAATGGCCAATCCTCTGGTTCAGAGGTGGCATTCAGTAGGTTCTGACCGGTTCTGGAGAACTGATAGTGGAAATTTTAGTTCGGAGAACTGGCAAATACCACCTCTGACTGGCCCTCCCCCCATCTATTCTCTACCTCCTGAGTCTCAGCTGATTGGCTGGGTCGTCTTTTGTTGCCCTGCACAGGAGAACAAGCTGGAAAGCAGCTTAGTGGGGTGGGGAAGGAATGGGATTTTGTACCAACCTTCTCCCAGGAGTGGGGAGGGAATGGGTATTTTGCACTAGCCTTCCCCTGTCACATCCACCAAGCCATGCCTGCCAAACCACACCACACCCACCAAGCCACGCCCATAGAACTGGTAGTAAAAATTTTGAATCCCACCACTGCTCTGGTTCTTGTATCCCACGCCCATCAATACTGAGATATATTGTCCTGCCCTATATCCCCCAAAATAATCATTCCCTCTGCTCACCAATCCCCTTGCTCAAAGACCTAATGGCTCTGCCATCCTTCTCCAGTCACTCACAGTCATACACCCAAGCATTTGGACTGGAATGTCCTTGCAACAGTGATTCCATCACCCTATGGTGAAACTGTTTACAATATACTTTATTTGGTGTGCCCTTAAAAGAAGACTCTGAAACCACAACTGATTCAAAATGTAATGGTCTGATTGCTGACAGGAAGTGCTTTAAGCAGTGTGACGTCTAGGCTTACTTAGATTACTACATTGATTACCAATAGGTCTGTGGACCCATTTCAAGATGTTGTTGTTTAACTTTTAATTCCCTACATTCTTTAGTGCCAGGCAGGGGTGGGATCCAACGAGGTTAACTACCAGTTTGGTCATTTACGAGGTTCGGTGATTTACGATGTGCTTCCCTGCACACTGCCGATGCGCCTGTAAATCGTCATCAGCATGCTGTGTGCAGAGAAGCAGCCTTTCAAAAAGCCCTTTTTTCCTGCTTTTTTTAACTGCAGCTGTGTCTCGCACAGCAGCTGAAGTTGAAAAAATAAGGAAATAAAGGTCAGGAAAGAGCCTGGGTGGATGGGTGGGCAAAAACATTATCAAACATAGAAACAGTTCTATGTCTGCTGCTCTTCAGAGCTACCGGTTCTACAGAGGTGGACAGAACCGGTAGAAACCCACCCCTAGTGCCAGGTACTAGTAGGATCATTTTCTTTGACCAGAATTAGGCTGTCTCAATGTTCATATGTTCATCCTGAGGGAAGCAGGTCTAAATGAAGAGGGGAAAAGGCTGGAATTGTGACTTCTTCATGGCAGTCTCCCACACTGTGGAACTTTTTGTTTATTTATTATTTTTATTTATTAAATTTCTATATTGTCCATCTCACCTAAGCAACTCTGGTTAAAACCAGAGTTTAAAAACAGAATTAAGAACAAAGTTCTTGTAAGAGTTACAAGTTAAAAGTGAAAATCAGAGTTAAAAAATTCAGAATTCTTCTATCAGTAGAGGGAGCTCCTACCTTGCTTGCCCTCTGTAAGGATAAAACATTTTTTCTTATGTGCTTTTAAAATAAACAGTGCACCTGGGTTACATGTGCAATTTATATTGTATTTTATTTTATTTTTGCATATAAAATGCTTTCCATTTATTAAAAATTGAAAAGGTTATTCTGTTGAAAACTTTTTTAATAAAAATTATTAAAAAAGTGAGAATTTTTCAAGGAAATTCTAGTCAGTTACCTTCTCCTAGCCTTTTAAAATAATGTAAACACTTAAATAGTTTTAGCAATTTACATTTGTTGAGAATTGTGTAAAATGTTTTGTTAGGTACTGTATCATATCTATCTATCTATCTATCTATCATTGTCTGTCTGTCTATCTATCTCACTAGAAAGAATTTGATCTATAAATATACTTTTACAGTTTTAACCAACTAGCCTCAAAATGTGATTTGGGGACACTGAAACAGAAGGTTAAAAGTCATGTTTAGGCAATGCTGGTTTTTTAAGTATTATATAAACACCTTTTTCTATTTTATCATAGGAAACCTTCAGAGTGTGAGAATTTTACCTTCACTATACCCCGGTAAGAAGTGCATAAGAATTACATATATGCTAAACATTTAAAATGGTTAAAACTGCACCTAATTCTGAATATTGAGCGTAGAAATGGACCAAAAAGGTTTTTTTACTTATAATCTTCCCACAAACCAAGTAGCAAGAAGTGATTTTTAAAAAGACAAATAGTGCATCACCAAAATGGAAACTCAGACTGGAAAACAAAAGAAGCTGAAGAACAAGAAAATCAAAGAATGCCAGATTAAGAAATACCACCTAGAAACAAGAAAGGTTAAGAAAGTCCTAGAAATAATAAAGCAACAGCTTTATTGGCAATTATAAGCATGAAGATCAGCAGATACGAAGCTCAAAATGCACACTATAGGCAAAACCTGCAATTTCAGTTGAATAAGAAATGTTTCTAAAAATCCAACACAGGCTTTAGAGAACTCAACACCTAACAAAGAAGAAACAGCACAGTTCTGGTTGCATACAACAAGAATGCAACTTGAATAAAAGATGAATAAGAATAAAAAAACCATTTAAAAAAAACTTGTAATAGTAGCAAAAGTGGTGGATTAAAGGTTAAGGAAGATCAAGAACTGATCACCACCGAATAAAGATGAATTGCATGGTTTTTGGTTGAAACATCTGACTAGTCTACACCCACTCATTGCCAAGCAATTTAATAGCATACTGCATAAGGTAAAATTGATGAATGGTTAATATCTGGCCAAACCTACCTGATAATGAAAGATCGAAGAAAAGGGCCAGCACCTGGCAATTATCCACTTATCAACAGCTTTCAAATTGTAACTGATGTGGTAGCAGTCCAGTAGCATCTAGCTCAGGGCTTTCAAACTTGCAGTCCATGGGCCGGATGTATCACCTGCTGGCCTTGCCCATGCCTGGTTTAGCAAAAGTGGAAAAAATCATGATACGTCACATGATGACTCCGTGATACCCTGATCTAGCTGAAAACAAACTTTTCCCACCTGAGCAGAAAGAAAATTGCCCAACCATCAGAAGGTCACCTCCTAATCAAAAGATGATTTTGGAAAACTACAAAAGAAGGAAGATCAGCTTGAATATAGCATGGATTAATTACAGGAAAGCATTCAATTCTCCACCATATGAGTCAGTAGAAACATGAGAAGCTTTCTGCAAAGATCAAGGACGCAATGAAAGACACAGTTGCTGATAAATAATGATAGACCGGAAAAGATTAATATCAAGTTGACACAGCTTCCGAGGTCAGTAAAATGAGGATCCAGATTGTTGGGAGCAGTAGGCTGACATTGTAAACTGGCCAGAGGGTGTTGTAAAGCACTATGGGGTGGTATATAAGTCTGAGTGCTATTGCTATCAAAAGAAAATATTTTCAAGGAAACTCACTATCACCACTAGTGTTTGTTTGTTGTTCCACAGATTCCTCTATCAAGTCAAACCATGGCTATCAAACAACAAAAACACCTGCCAGGCTACCTCACATCATTTACATGTGCATGCATTTAAACATGGAAAACCATTTAAAATAAAATTGCTGCTCAACATTGCCTGTACATACAGCCAAAACATTGCAATAGAATGTGGACTGGACAAAAATGCCACTCTCGCCATTAACAGGGAAAAAATAGTGAAAAGAAAGAAAGAAATCCAGATGTCCTATGGAGATAACATAAAGACTCTGGATGAAAACAATTACTACAAATAGCTGAGCATCCTTCAAACTGACAATATCAAATGCACTGAAATCAAGAAGATTAGAAGTGAACACAGTATGAGGAAGATCTTAAAGTCCAAACTCAGTGGGGAACGTACTATTGAGACAATTAATACACAGTTGGAATAGTGGACCAGACTCAAATAGAACTAAAAGCTCTAGATAGAATAACTGTTGCAAAAGAAAATAAAGATATTAATAGGATAGCCAAACCAATTGGAGCACCATCAGCATTGACAAATCACAATGAGTCAATTGCAAAAGGCAGCTATATTAGGAACAATTTGCAATCTGTGACAATACCTAAACACCATCAAACATCTACCCATATACCAGGTTCTTGGAAAGATTTGTTAGGTGGATAAAAATTCCAAATCCAGCTTAAAGATGACTGACTATGCATGCAACTGACTACAATAATAATAGACATTTCATTGGCACATAACCTGGAAATATCTTTAATTATTGATAATAGTAATTAGATTGGTTGTTTCATATCCATCCTCTACATTTTCATATGTATAAAATACATTGTGTAGGAGCCATCAAAAACCTGGGGACTCTATCTTCCTTACAAAGTGGTGAAAGGCTGAATCATTTATCTAGTGCAGATGGCATAAAGAATATTGAATGCAGTGTCTAATACTGGAATATTACAATTACAATTCAGAACTTCTTTCTCTCATATTAGAAAGTATCTCAGAGACAAAAGACATAAAGAAAACAAGGTATGAATTACTAATTTATTTTAGTGAATTAACTGATGCATTTTTTTTGTTTTTTAACCATGCTAAACTGTCTTTTTCATAGGAAGTGATATTTGATATAGACAAATATGGCTGCCCATTACAGAGCCATTATACTCAGGACTTTCATCCTCAAGTTGAGATGTAAGTAAAACTAAAACAGTGTGAAAGAGAAAAAGATGCATTAGGAAGTATGTATTATAGACCGTTTCCCCAACTCTTCATGACAAGAATTGAAGGAGTCAAAAGAAATCAAGATGGTAGCCACAACTGTCCTATTATAGACCTACCCCTTTTTATATGTGCACAAAGGAACAGATTCCAATCACATAGTCACAACTGTCATCTTGACTTTTTAGACCCTTGTCCCACTAATGTCCCTGAAAAGGGAGGAGGGCTCTCTCTGGTCTGTGGAAAACTGTTCCAGTATTATTTGACAAAGGACAAATGCTAGCAAAATTGGAAGATTTATTGGAAAGGAGGTAGACAGAAGTTAAATACACTTGAATCCTTACTATGGCTTTACACTCTTTGAAAAGATACGGTACTGTGCTTCTGTTGTATACAGATATGGGGAGGACAAAATTCCCATGCCAGTTGACGTAAACTATATATTGTGGGAGATGAATGGAAGGACTGACTTTGCTTACAGGGCAACTATGGAAAAGGTAAATTGATTTATGATTTTTGTACTTTATGTGTTATCATTTTGAAATAAGCTATTTGGATCAGGTTTCTTTCTTAGGAAGAAAGGCAGAGAAAATACTAACACTTGTTCCATATCTAAAGCTCCAGTCACCTGAATGGCTTAGAAAAAAAAAAGAATGGAAAAGTAGAGACTGTGAAGGGCTTTTGCCTTTTTCTGTGCTCGGAATTTGGAGTTGGTGAGTTGGAACCCTGACATTATGCAAAGGAATTTAGAGATACCTTTGGGGAAGGTTTGAAAGAATAGTCAGAGAGGGTCTTGCAAAAAACATTACCCAGTCCAGACACTGAAGCAAGTGTAAAAAAAGAAATTTATAATAATCCCTTCTTGGTTATTTATTATAAGATGGGATAAAGAGAAACGTGCATAGGCTTTCAAGATTCTGTTGTTCTACTCTACAATAATCAACTGCCATTTCTGGTATTCTTTAGTGTCTGTTTCTTACCCTGGCCTACTCCTAAAGTTGACAGTTATCTTCCCTAGGACTGAGAAGATACGGGGAAAGAAAGTTGAGCAGAGCTGTTTCTTCTACCTATTGAAGCCATCATTTCTTAATGAACAATAATTTTTGGAGACAGAAACAAAAAGCAGTGGTTTTAGATTCTTTTGAGTTGTTTAAATTTTTCACAATCAATTTTCCCAACTACTATTCTTTCACAGTTCTATGCAGTGGTGGCTGCTGAGTGGTCGGCGGAGTTCAGGTGAACCCCTTGCTGTGATCTCTGGCTGGGCCCGCCCACCTGCCTTTGTGCTATGCTTTCCCTAAATAACTAACTTTTCCCTCACCCAGAGTGCCCAGGTGTGTTCCGCATCGCCCTGCTGTACTCACCGGAGCTGCCTGAATCGATTAGCTGTCTGTTTGAAGCTGTGTTGCAGCCCCAAAGTGGCTTGTGCACTCACAACCAGCAAACCCCCTGTCAGTGAAAGTGCAGCCCACCATTGGCATACCTACAAATCCAATCAAGATACAAGAAAGACAAGAAAGAATGGGACATACAGAGAGAATTGATGGCATTGGATAAGATACTATTAGGAATGTGGGGGAAATAATTAACAGAATATACAACTATCTACTAGAATATAAAATGGAGGAGGAACAAGTCAAAGAAGTAATGATAAAATGGGCTCAAAATTTCGGTTATAATATTGAGTTAGACAATTGGCAAAAGTTATGGGAAAGAAATAGAAAATTAACATTGACAACTTCGTATAAAGAGAACCAATATAAAATGTTTTACAGATGGTATCTTCCTCCAACTAGATTGGCCAAAATTAGTAAAAGTATATCACCACATTGTTGGAAACGTAACATAGAAATAGGGACCTATTGTTATGTGTTGGAAATGGATAAAAGCAAAAAAATACTCGTGGAAAATAAAGGTTTGGATAGAAGAGATGGTTAACCAGAAAGTAGAGTTCAGACCAGAAACGTTCTTATTGGGAATTATTAATGAGAAATACAGTAATGGAACAATATATTTAATGATACAAATAATAGCTGTGAGATTGGTGTATGCCCAAACTGGAAGAATGAAGATACCCTTACAGAAAGTGAAATAATAAGGAAAATATTAGTTTGTGCAGAGATGGACAGACTAATTTTAGAAATCAAAGATAAGGGTAAGACAGAGTATTATGAAGTCTGGAGTAAAATGTATCAATGGCTAGAGTCAAGGAAAAAAATGGTTGACACTTTATAGGAATGAAAACTAAAGTTCTTCTGCAGCCACTTGTAGTCATTCACATCCGGACACCATGTCAATGCCACCACTCATGGCAAGAGGCTATATGTTGTGTTGTGCCATTGTGTGCATGAGCGGTAGCACTGCTTTGATGAGCCATGTGGCATCCTGCTGTGAGCGGCAGCACCAATGTGACAAACCACGTGGTGTGCTGCCATGAGTGGCAGCAGCAGCATGGTGCGCCAGATGGGGTCCAGCTATGAGCAGCCGCAAGTGGTTGCAGAAGTTGGGCAGCAGCGCATCAGATATCAGAGCATGGGATGCCTGTTACAGTGGTCCTTAGGTAAGTGGGTGCAAGGTGTATGGGGCAGCTCTATTCCCCAACTCCGCCCTAACTTGATTTTTACACCTGCGCCTCGTCTCATCGTACAATCAGACAGCAGGCGGGGCTAACCTAGGGCTTATTTGTGGGATGGGGCATTTATGGGGCAGAGGCATGAAAATTGGGTTAGAGCTTGTTTTCAGGGTAGGTCATATTTCCGGGGAAATATGGTAAGAATCCCACTTGACTTTACATTCCAAGAGGTCTGGCTCAAGGTCAGCGATCACATCATTGTGGTTATCATGGACACTATGATTTTTCTTATATTTTATGTAAGAAAATATATTTCCTATAGTTTAATCTTTTTTGGAATTTCAATCTTGTCTTTCTTTTATTCACAATTTTTATTACTTTTATATGTTTACTTTTTTTCTGTAAACTATTTTATTATTAATAGAGTTGTTGTACAAATGGTTGTTAAGTGAGGACTACCCGTAACAAAAATTCAAATAATCCTTAGAGTATAGAGTAATATTCTAAACATATATAACTATAACCAGAACTTCATAGAGTGAAGAATTCTATTCTTAGAATTCTTTTCTTGGCTGAGCTTTGTGTGCTTATCTTTTTAACAGGTACATTGTTTAAATACTGCACAGACTTGGAATGAGATGATTAAATTATATAATAAATCAATTGAAACAATTGAAGATGTAGATGAGATATGGGGACCTCACGTAAGCATCAACATATAACAAAAAATATAAGTAAACCAGTCTTTAAATATATATCTAATACTATTTAGTTATTAATCTTTATTTAAAATAAAACAAGCATCCAACTCTTATAGGTTACTTCTAACTTTGTTATTGATTTCTGAGTTGTGTTTGTTACCATAAGTATTTTTCTAGATGACAGCCAAATGATGTAACTCAAGAGTGCAAACATAGTGGAGGAGATTTTGTTGTTAATCTGTCTGCTGTTTTATGCTTTTGGAGCTATCAGAAGAATTGCAGTGATTGTATTCCTGAGTGAGAGGCAAAACTGAAGAACTCCCCCTGAGAATATGGAAGTATAGGAGAAATGAGAAAATATATTGGCTCTGACAATATATCATAGAGTAGGAATGAAGAAGTGATTTTCTAGTTGGTTTACTATTCCTATTCTACAATAGGAATGTGGATTTGATGATATATCTAGTTGGTTTTAATAGGTCAGTTAAAGTGGCTTGTCAGGTGTTGGCTTCCGTAGGAGAGGTGTGGGTTTTCTTGTAAATGTTGATTGTGGTTACAATAGGAGTGATGCTATAGGGAAATCATGGCTTTTCAGAAAACTCTGTGATTGATAGTTAGATGCCAGTTGTTGCCTCTTTAAGTTTAGTGGGTGGAGATGGAGGTAAGCAAATTATGACTATCATAGAAAGAAGAGATATGGTGGGAAATGTTGTGCAAATCATTACAGATTTTTTTTAAAAAAAAAACTTGCAGCTTAGGGTTCATCTATACTTCTGGTTCCACAGTTTCATAGAATAGAATAGAATAGAATAGAATAGAATAGAATAGAATAGAATA